CAGGGCTGATCTCACAGGTCGCACACAGCGACTCCTGTCCCGCACTGAGTCAGGGCACTCTGGGTGAGGTGTTCCCTGAGGCTGCTCTGCACCCTTCAGACACAATGCTCCTTCCAACATCTGCTTTGTTTAGCAGATTATACTGGAGGACGTATGTACTTTTTAAACAAAATTCCTTAAATGTAACGCTGAACACTCCAAATGAGTTCGTTTCCACATTCCTTGGAGCAGAATCCAAGCCATTAACAGCCTCCCCAGGGCAGCAGTCACAACATCAAACCTGACATAGGTTAGGAAGCATTTGGACAACGCTCTCAGGCACGTGGTGGGATTGTTGGGGTGTCCTGTGCTGGGCCAGGAGTTGGACTCGATGACCCTTGTGGATCCCTTCCAACTGAGGGCATTCCATGGTGTTACCCGCAGGCACAGCCTGTAGGCGACCCTCCCGGTGCACTGTTGGCGAAACGTGAACTCGCTGCTCCCGGCGCCCCACCGTGTGCCACAGCAGCACCTCGGGAAGGGGCCGTAAGGGACATGCGGCCCGCACCGCGCTCCTCCCGCTCCTCCCGCCGCTCTCACCTCGGGGCCCGGGCCGGGGCCGCCGCCATCCGCCTTCCGCCTCTTCCGCGCCGCCCGCTCCCCCTCGGCCCCCGCGGGCCGCTTGCGCCCGTTGAGGCAGAGCCCCTTCGCCATGGCCTGGGCCGGAGCGCGGCGTCCTGCTGCCCCTCACGGGTCCGCTGCTCCCGGCCCGAGGGGGGCACTCGGAGCCCGCCGGAACCGCGCCGGGCACCGGCCCCGCGCTCCCGGCCGGAGCAGCCGAGCGCCGAGCGCGCGATGGGGGCGGGCCCGCGGCACGTTTGAAATGGCGGCGGGGCGCTGAGGGCGGCCATGGCCACCAAGCGCCTGGCCAGGTGGGGCCGCGGCTCTGGGGGCACCGCGGGTGGAAGGGGCCGCAGGGGGGGCCGGAGGGGTTGTGGGCTGTCCTTGACCGCGGTCGGTATCCGCAGGCGGCTGGGGCTGGCGCGGAGCAGCGCCCGGGCGCGGAGCGGGGCGCGGGCGGGCGCGGGGCAGCGCTTCGCCTTCCTCATCGTGCTGGACTTCGAGGCCACGTGCTGGGGGGAGAGGCAGCAGCGCTGGCCCGAGATCAGTGAGTGCTCCGGGGAGTGGGCGGGGGGCCCAGGGGCCGCGGTCTGCCTTCGAACGTTGTGTCTTCATTACATTATGTTCCTTCTGAGTCCTGACGTTTCAGCCCTAGTTTAATGGAGTAATATAATATCTAAATTATATCTATCTGTCTATCTAAAATACATATATAAATCATATTTATATATTATATCATAGATTCAGCTGATTTGGAAGGCACCCATATATAAATGGAATAATTTCTCTGGACAGCTTTAACCTTTCTGGCTTCTTTGTGTGTTGGGTTGTTTCTCTTTCTTTTTTCTTCTCCTTCTGTGTTTGTCGCAGTCGAATTTCCAGCAGTCCTGTTAAACACCTCAACGGGAGAGATTGAATCTGAGTTCCACGTGTACGTCCAGCCTCAGGAGCATCCTGTTCTCTCTGAATTCTGTACAGAACTAACTGGCATAACACAGGTATAAATAGTAGTTTAGCATTGTTTTACACTTGTATAATTGCTGTTTACAATTTTATTTAAAGAGGCCTTTAAAGGGCTAAAAAGAAATAAACCTCAAATGAATTTCATTGCATTCTAAGACACACATGTTGTTCTGTTTCATAAAGAATCAAGTTGACGAAGGGGTCCCTCTCAACATTTGCTTATCACAGTTTATGAAATGGATTCAAAAGATACAAAAGGAGAAGAAAATTATATTCAGTACAGATACAGAGAGTAATTTCTCTTCGGAAGCAAAAGCTTGTACCTTTGTTACTTGGACAGGTAAATAATATTTTCATTTGCTTTTTCTGCAGAGTAATAACATTTGGTGGCACTAGTGAGACTGTGTCTTCACTTCTGTTCTGCCAAAGTCCTGGTATTAGGTATTAAAAATGTGCAATTTTGAGATAAGGCTGAAAATATGGAATCCTGATGTGTTTGCAGCACCTCTCTCTCCAGGGTCTGACATTGTTACATTTTTCTGCTTTACATAGTGAACTGTGTCACCGTTCTTAATCTGTCTAAACAATTTAGTGACTGAGATCTTTACTTGTCTGAAGTCATTTACTAACAGCAGGGATTCACTGCTCCTGATGTCCCATTGCAGCAACCCCAGTGTTTTCTGTGGACAAAGACTTCACAGCCTGTGCTTCCTCTCCTATTGATGTTATGTCTCTTTATGTAGATTTTAGGCCACATAAAGGGCCACATAGGCCACAGTATGTGAATTTTAGGCCAGTGCTGTAGTGGTGCATTGACTGTGGTTTTCCTGCACAGACTGGGACCTGGGTGTGTGTCTGCAGTACGAGTGTAAAAGGAAGCAGCTGCGAAAACCTGACATTTTGAATTCCTGGATTGATCTCAAAGCAACATACAGGGTGAGAATATCTATAGACTGAAACATTTATATCCACATTATCACCCCAAAGGGTAACTATACCTGAGCTTGCAAGCCAGTGCTGTATGTCCCAGTGACCAGAATAACCTGTAACCTGTTTTCTTTTCATGTTGTTATCACTCAATAACCAACTGCATGGCCTAGAACTGTGTGAATTTTAATAGAAATCTTAATGGTAGGAAAAGATTGTTGTTTGATAAATGATCGATAATCCCAAGAAAATTTTGAGCTGCTCTTCCTTTCTTTAAACCTTTTGCTCTGCCTGTTTCCTGACATCCCTTGTTTTGAGTGCCTTATGGCTGCCTTGCATTGCTGTGTTGAAAGTTATCATCATAGAGGTACTTACAGGTCAAGACCAGAGAGTACATTCTGAATAGTATGGATAACACTGAAAAAATGAATGTATATTTTATTACATAGTCTATACCAGAACAGAGTTCTAACCTGGGGGCTAACAGCACCTAAGTGTACCTTTCCCTGTGTAATCAAGGAAACTTTCAGAGGGTGACCCACAAGTCTACCTGTGCAACAGGTCTCTAAAAATAAACGATGTGAATATTGCCCCTTCCTAGTGATCAAATCAGATACTGGGAGTAAGTAGCAAAACTCACTTTTTCTCATTTAAAAAAAAATCCCATACCTATGTCAAATATATTAATGCCTGTGCCTTTGATTGTATATTTAAATATGTCAAGGTATTATTTATAGTTATATTCTTCAATGCTGGTCTGTGAAGGCCTTCATCAATGTAAGCCATAGAGTGCAGACAGAGTGGATTTACTTAAGACTGAGAGAGGGGATTCATGGTTCTTTCCATTCTGATTTGTTACAGGGTAAGTCACGGTCTTATCCTCAATGCAAACACCCAACTTGCACAATTGACTTGTGAGACTTATTATTCATAAGGTGATATTTCTGAAATGGTTTTCATTTAACTAGGAAGAAGTTTCGAAATGCTTCATGTTGAGCACCTGCATTTCTTTCCTTAGGCCTTCTATAATAGGAAGCCTAAAGGGCTAAATGGAGCTTTGCAGGATTTGGGGATAGCTTTTGTAGGACGGGAACATTCTGGTAAGTGAGATATGATGATCCTCATTTTAATATAGGTACATAATGCATATTAATATCTATTTTATAAATCTAAATATTTCCTATTTAGTTTAGTTAGCTAAACTAAAGCAGTGAGTCAGTAGCTAGTCATTACTCTGAATAGTAACAATTGTTTCCAGGTTATGCAATGAATTTGCACAACAATGTTCTGTCCAAAGGAACAGCAAAACAAGAAAGGCAAAATGCTTCAAAGATCAGAGTTAGTTATTTCTAGACTCATACTTTTTTTCTGATGTCTCTCTTAGTGCTACTGAGTGCACGTTCACAAGATCAATTTCTGAATTGCTAGGATGCAAAATAAAAGAGGTGGAGGGAGGATAAGAAAACTTGAGCTCTGAACAGCATGTTAATGTGAGAAAATTCCAGCACAATATGAATTTATTTTTTTGAACTTGATTAATAAAACAGGGAGAGGATTTTTAAAATTGTGAATAGATATTCAAGTCTGTGGATTGGTCCTTCAGATGTTTCAGCACAGGGAATTCTTTGGAATTTTCTACTTCCACTTTCCTTTTTTGAATTAGATAACTGTGTCAGAGTTCTGTGACTCCTTGTCATTTATGTAAGGCTTACCTAGATCACTTTTTTCCTCTAATAAGAACTGTCCCCAGTAGCAGTTTTAAAAGAAGTCATTAATATAATCATACTTTTGAAGGGTTGGACGATTCTCGGAATACTGCTCGTCTTGCTTGGAGGCTGATTTGTGATGGATGTGTGCTGAGGGTTACTAAATCTTTGGATAAGGTTAGTAACTACTTCGTCTACTTGCTTGGTAGTTTGGAATACAGATGAAAGATGAGCTATTCAAATAATAAACCCAGCGTCCTGACTTTGATTTGAACAGAACATCCGTAGGCTGATACGCTTATTAATTTTGTGCATTGATTCCCAAAACTTCTGGGTATTCACTCTCCAAAATTTCCTTTTTTTACGGACTCCCTAGGCACGTCTGCAGGGTAATTTAATTGCCAGAACACTGGCTGGAAACTTCACTGACAAGACTCCACTGGGAAGTAAGACCAAGCCTGAAACATCTAGAGACAGAACATCAGAAACAAACTCTCTGGCTGAGAACAAACACTCTTTTGCTGGAAACAACATAACTTCTAATGTACAGACTAAAGAACAACAGACCAATTGTACCTCAGCAGATGTCCATGCTGTACCCAGCAGCAGCTCAAGGACTGAATTCCATGCTCAATGCCAAAGCCCTTCAGCAGCATCTACTGAGAGATTTCCTGTTCCTCTTGAGCTGGCACAGCCATTTCCCAGTCCTGCACCAACAGGCATCCAGCAGGGATTGAGCAATGGGCAGCTTCTGGGTCCAGCCAGATACAGCCCCCCAGTACAGGGACCAGGACTGGTGCTCGTCTCCACTACCATCCCCTCAGTTACTGTCTCCAGTGAGGAGATCAGTACCAGTGCTGACTGCTTGTCTCTGCTGACAGACTGGGAAGATGTTGCTTTAATACCAGAATCTCAATATGAACAAAAGTCAGACTCTGTTCAGCTCAAGGATGACTCGAGTACAGATAGTTTAACAGTGTTTGAAGAAAAAACAATTTCAAAAGAATTGGCTGTGGCAAGTTCAGATAATCAGAGTTTGGAGAAAAGTGCAGTATCCATGGAACCTCTGAAACCTGTCATTTACAAAAGTCCTGATACTACAATCTATAATGTAGGAACAGTGCAAAGGCAGACTTCAAATTTTTCAGCTTTTAAGTTACCATTTGCAAAGGGAAATACCATTTCAGCACTAACTGGAAATTACTCTACTTCTTCAGAGGTTCCTAAAAGAAAGCCAACTAGTCCAAAAACATTCCCACCAGCAAAAAAACAGTCTTTTGCTATATATCAAGAGAAGACTCCATCTTTTGATCATTCCTTACTTTTGAGAAGTTCAAATTTGCCCAAAGTGTCTCCTGCCATTCTCAACTCCACAGTCAACTTGAATCCACATGTAAGAGCTGTGAGAAGTGGAAAACCAACTCCCCCTCTGTGCAACTGCGGTCGAAGAGCCAAAAAACTCTGTGTGTCAAATGCTGGCCCAAATCATGGCAAAGCATTTTTCTGTTGTCCTGTTGGCAAGCAAAACAGTGATAGAAAAGGTTGTGGATACTTCAAGTGGGAATGTGCACTTCTCAAAGAGAAATCTAATGGTCTCACCCTGAATGCGGATGCTTTGACCTCTCTTAGAACTGTTTCTAGTAATTTAGGAAATTCTTCCAACAAAAGCTATTTATGTCTTAGACCCTCTATGAGAACATGAAAATGGATAAAATTTTTTGTCTAAATCTTAAACTCGCTAAGTTTCATGCTTGATGTAATCAGGACAGTCAAATGATATCAGATACATGTTCTCAGAATGGGACAAAACAGTTCTTGGTTAACATAGATAGAAATGGAAATTGCTGAAGCACACAAAAATATCAGTAGATCCTAAAGTAACTCATTAATGACGTGTGAGAGAACAGGTAAAACTGTAAGTGCTAAAATTAAATTTCTGCTTTATTATGTATTTTAAATTCTTTACTAGCCCAGTCTTTAAAGACAATTTTAATGACACAGATTTTATTTGCACTTTTTTGTAAATATACTTGGGATGACTACAACTAAATTTTAAAAATCTATTTAGAAGTTGTCGCACTTCTTGAAAGTGATTCTTGAAGCAATAGTATCCTCTTAAACTCCTACTGTTTTTTTTTTATCCTTTAAGTAACAATAAAGATAAGATGTTGGTGACACTTCATTAAATAACTTTAACTCCCATCACCTGTTGTGCTCCTGCCTCCCTGAGTTTCCCATTTCATTTGTACCAGTGCCTGCTTTTGCCCTGTTAGCTGTTGGTGTAGCATCTGGGACAGCAAAATGGTGGGAATCAAGTAAGGGTATATTCAAACCTAAACTAGGAATGATATAGTGCCATGTCTTTTACTTGATGTTACTGTGTAAATCTGCAATACCTTACTTTATAAAAAATCCTACAAAACACCAAGTATCTTAATTTTTTTCTCCACTCTTTCCAGCACAGTTCATTTCTTCTGATCTTCCCGCTAACAGTCTTCCCATAGGAATGAGAAACAGTCCTTGGATTTTGGGTTCAGCTGTTATAAGTGGTCTATGACTTACAGAAACATTTTTCTAGTGTTGCTTATTGCAGTTGACTTTTCCCTTGGAAGTTGTATCTGATAATCAGTTCAACTGGAACGAATAGGACTCAAGAACAAAATTCGTCCTATGTAGAGAGAACCCTACAGTGCAGGAGCACAGTAGTGGATGAGGCACAGCAGGGAGCTGGCTGCCAGTTATTTGTGTTCTCTTTTCCACTAAGCTCTACCTTCAAAAGCTGCAGCACTGACTGCTGGGAAACAAATCAACCCACGGTGATTAGTGGAAGAACAGAAAGTGCAGACTTGGCTTGGATATTCATGAAGGCTGTGGACAGACAGAAACAGTATGTTCTGCTTTACCAGTGTAGAAATGTATGCTTTGCAGATACAGCAGTGAAGTCTATTCAGGGTGCCAACAAAAAGTGATTAAAATGATTATCAGATACAACTTCCAAGGGAAAGTTTCAGGCTTCCATTTACCTGTTCAAAAAGCTTCTGTTTTTAGCTGGTCCCTCTACACTGTGACACTTCCAGGACTCCGCCAGCCAGGGGCGCAGGGGTCGGTGTTGGATGTGGCGTTGCAGTGCAGGACTGAGGGCTGCTCGCTCCCCTTCAGCAACTGTCCGTCTGATGTCGGGGTTTAGAGATGTAACAAGAATTCATAGTATTTACAACATAAAAACTACACATAGCCAAGCCAAATGATTTAAAGAAACAATGAGGAGGAGAACTGAGGCAGCCAGCAAGGCAACACCCAGTTACTTTTTAACCATGTGCATCATCTTGAAGAAGTTTACAGAGCAGTCTCTTAGAAGTTGGGGGGGTTTCAGACAGAGAAGAGCACCAAGACCCTCGATGAAGACCCTCAGAGACCTTATAAGGACATGCATATATGATAATAAGCGTTGGGAAATATCATGACTATGTAATGAGAATGAGGGGAATGAAAAATAAATAATCATGTAATATTGACATATAAGCTGTCGCAGTGATACCTCAATGTGCACTTTGGTGAAATGATTCGCAGGGCACCTGGGTCGCAATAAGGAATGCCTGGCTTCTAAAACTCAAAGACTGAGTCTTAGAAGTTTAAGTGCCGATTTTAGGCAACACCTTCCCTGCCCTCCCCTCAATTCCGGAACCATGAACACAGGCTAGAGTTCGGGGAAGCGAAAGCGTCAAGGGCTATAAGGGACGGCGTTTGGCCGCGGCTGAGCTCGCCCCGGAGCGCTGGTCACCCCGGGCCCGGCACCCAAACCCCGTCGCCGCCGCCCCTCAGGCCCGGGCGGTGCGGGCGGTGCCGCGGCCGCCGCTCCAGGCGCGGCGCTGTGCGGGCCGTGCGGGGGCCGCGGGGCGGGGGCGGCTCCGGCGCCATCGCGGCGGTGCCGGCGGAGCTGCCCGATGGCCGCGGCGGAGCCGGGGGCGCGCAAGCGGCGGCCCAAGGGGCACTTCGCGGCGGCGGGCCGGGCCAAGCGGCCCCGCGGCGGCGGCGGGCGGCAGCTGGAGGCCGGCATGCGCGGCATCCTCATCACCTGCAACATGAACGAGCGCAAGTGCGTGGGGGAGGCCTACAGCCTGCTCGGAGAGTACGGGGACCTGCTCTACGGGCCCGAGCAGGTGCGTGCGGCGGGGCCGGCCGGGCGCCCGGGGCTGGCGGGGGCAGCGCGGACCCGGCGGGGAGCGGCGCCCCAAGGCCTCTTGTCCTCTCCCTTTCTGTGTGTGAAGCAGCCCGGCTGTGCTCACCACATCCCCCCCGGGCCGGTTTCTGTCCGCGACCCTCTGTGCTGGCTGCGGGAACGGCCCGTGCCCATCAGCCCCCGGCCCCTGGTGACCTGCGGGCGCTGTGGCTCGGTACTCACCGACAGACTGTGTGAAGTTTTCAGATCACGAGGAGAGGCTGTCTGGAAGCGACAGGGAGGAGGATGAGGACGACGTTGAGGCGGCCCTGAAGAAGGAGGTTGGCCAGATCCGTGCCTCGACGGAGCAGAAGCTGCGGCGGTTCCAGTCGGTGGAGAGCGGTGCCAACAACGTGGTCTTCATCAGAACCCAGGGCATAGGTGGGACATCGGCTGATGCTGAGTAATGCAAACTGCTCTGAACACCCTTAGTGATAGGCCACAGAGCCTGGCTTCCAAGAAACACATGTATATAAAAAAAATAGTGTTTCCCCTTCCCTTTGGCTGTGCCACTGAGTTTTGTCATTAATGGAGAAGCTAAGGGTAGAGGAATTGTGCTTTCACAAGATAAGCTTTGATTATCCAGTTTTGCTATAGTAAATCAGCTCTTTACATAAAAAGGATTTGAGGCTGACAGCAATGAAGCCAAGTGTGCATTTCCCCAGCTTATTATTTAGAGGGGGAAGGAGGGAGATAATGCCTTCTATTTGTTTCTCATACCTAACTCTTTTCCTTGTAGAACCTGAGAACCTGGTGCACCATATATTAAAGGATATGCATACCACTAAAAAGAAGAAAACAAGAGTCATTCTGCGCATGCTGCCCGTTTCTGGAACTTGCAAGGCTTTCATGGAGGATATGAAAAAGTACACGGAAACGTTTTTTGAGCCTTGGTTTAAAGCCCCTAATAAGGGCACTTTTCAGATTGTTTACAAAGCTCGTAATAACAGTCATATGAGTAGGGAAGAAGTAATTAAGGAATTGGCAGGTATGTATGGATTTCACACGAAACAGAACAAGTATATACACAACCCACAGTTGCATGCACAGCATAGGTCAGATGGTTAAAAGTGATCTTAATGGGCACACATGTTTGTTGCTGAAAGCCTGTATGTTGAATTATAAAAGCTTCTCTAAGACTTAAAAAAAGCTTGACATCAGTATTTCTTGTTGCTGTTGATGTCTTAAGAGACAACAAGCAGAAGAGAGAACATGGATTATAATTTGCAGTGTCGGTTAAATGTGCTTTGAAATAACTGTTCTCAGGCTTTTTCTCTGGCTGCTATATTGAAATAATGTGTTACTATTTCCATTGAATTTTTGACTTATAAAATAGCTTCACCTTTACTTGAGCATTTTGTTTCTTGGTAATTGTAGTGGGATAGTTTTTCAGCTACTCCAGTCTTACTGGTGGTGTATTCTGAGAGTCCTGCTCTGTTCTGCTATTTTAAGCAATTACAAAAATGAGTAATTAGCTAAAACTGAGGAGGATCTTGCCTTCTCGCTCTTAACTTTTATCCTTTCAATAAGGTGTACTTATGCTCTGAAACACTTTTCCCAGCATCTTTTAAACTGCATCTTCTTTTGCAGGAATTGTGGGCAGCCTCAATCCAGAAAACAAAGTTGATCTTAATAATCCACAATACACAGTTGTGGTAGAAATAATAAAAACCGTCTGTTGCTTGAGTGTGGTGAGAGACTATGTTCTGTTCAGAAAGTACAATTTACAGGAGGTGGTGAAGAGCAACAAAGAAGACACACAACAAAACCCATCAAGTGTGACGGAAGAACAGAACTCAAAGGTAGTAAAACCAGAAACTGAGGAGAAGAGCTCAAAAGAAGTAAACCAAGAGAACAAGAATCAAGGTGAAATAGAAGCTGAGCCCAAGGGGAATGATGCACTTACAGTGTAAAAAATGGGGCAGAAGGGAAGAGTAAACATAATCCAAACATATAAAAAAAGTTGCCCTAGAGTTGAAAGGGTGTTTTAATGAGGAGAGTGGGTTTTGTTTTGAGATCCTCTTTTTAAAATCCACATGTGTAAGAATTTTAAAGCTCACTGCAGGTGGAACAGATACTACAGCAAATGTAAGGGTGCTCAAGAGGACATCACCTTTCTGGTGAAGCTGGCTGTCCTACAGCTTTGTTCTGCATTTCCTTTACCTGGCACAAAAAACAGGAGTGTGTGCATGTAGATGTAGCTGTAGCCATCCTGACATGTATGGAGTCTCCTTTGTTATATCTGATGGCTACAGTAACCAAAAGGCAGCACAGAACCAGCTCTATGGTGAGAGATCTGGAAAAGACAGTTGATTGCAGAGGGTTTTGAAGGAAGTGATCTGACAACTGTGTAACTGCAGAACTCAGTAACATTTTTCTGTGTGAACAACAGAATTAGGTAAACCTGATAATTTCCTGTATGATGGAGGGTTTTATACATATATATATATATTTACAGCTCTACAAGGATATGCTGTCTTGAAATGAATGGAAAGAACTGCTGTGATCAAAATACTTGAATATTATGAGACGATTTAGAGTAAGAGATTGAACTGTTCTAGAACAGTAGAAGTACAGTGCAGGCATTGCAGATGGTTTTATCAAAAACATGTTTACATTAGCTGTGTATGCAGCAGTTACTGGTTTATAGAAAATGCTATAGTCACTGAACAGAATCCTTTTGACTAATTTGCTGCAAATAGCCTTTGCTGCTCTTTCCAAAGAATTAATCCTTGAGGGATTTTATAAAGTTTTTTTTGTTTTTATTCTTTTCTTACATCTAAAAATTTGAATTTAAATACTGCTTGGAAACTTCTTCTGAAAGAAGCTCTCCATTTTACTATGCTACATAAGGGGAATTAAATTTTATTTTTTGGTACATTTTTGGCTTTACAGTAATAATTTTGTTTCAGATTGAAAGTAATGTTAGTGAGTCTTTCTGTTGTGTGTTACAACAGCTGTTTGAATATCCCAGTGACTTTTAAAAACCAACCAAAACCAGTGCAGCTATAACTTGCTTTCCAGGAGGGTTTTGAATATGCTTCCTGTACAACTGTCTAGTTTTAATATTTAATTTCTAGCATAAAAGCCTGTGCATTGCTAATGGGAGAAGACTCATCTTGAAGAACGCTACTTGTTACTTGTTGGTTTAATGAAAATGATGTGTTCAAGTCTCTCATAATTTATATTTTCCTGTTCTCTCAAAATTGTTTTAGAATTTGGAAAATGAAGATGACTTTTTTTCCCTAGTCCTGTCTTCCTTACCACCCATTTATTAAAACTCTGCTTTCTTACCTCCATTGGTGGTTTTTTTATATTTTAAAGCTTTTTGTGTGTGGATTAAAATCAGCAATGTGTAGGTCACACAGAGGAAAGAACCATTTGAGACCAGATAGGAAGGCCAGCTGTGAATGTTTATTGGTGGCTGATGTTGGTGATCAATTCATGACAGCCTATTCATCTTCTAAGGACAAAGACTCAGGGGTAGTTAGTGGGGTATTTTCTGTTTACTTTCCTTCTCTCTCTCACTAACTCGTGTGCCTACACAACTTACAGTTTACTTCTGATTTTTCATAATTTGCACTTAGTGGACATCCATTGTTAACACATTAATTCCTAAATCTCGAGTCTTTCAAGATTCATACAAACAGGCTCCTTAATTTGGATGCATGCAAGATCTGTGGCCATTTCTGGGAACTTCATTCCATACTGTCATGATTTCCTCATTAATAAGCCTCTTGTGAGTTAAAATACCCAGTCTCAAAGAATGAACACACTGCACTTTCACCTGACGATCACTTGTAGTGTAATTCTGAATTATGTTAGATGGCTGGAAGATGTGTTTGCACATGCCTTGCTAAGGATGCTTGGTTTTTGTTAGGCAAGAAGACAAGCATTTAAAAACCAGACAGTTGGAGTGTTTGAACTTTGTGCATTATTGCACAATCACTGCCTAACAGGTGAAATATAATCCTGTATTGGTGTTTACAGTTGTAACAGAAGAGCTCCATTATGAATGACACTGATAGGGGTAGGCTGTTTTGAACTATTTATCAACACTAAATCTGTCTCCACTCCTTGTTCCTCAGTTCATTCCGCCTGATTTTCCCAGAGATTGTCTTTGGCAGCTGCTGGACAAATTCAATCTGATTCAAAAGAGGAAAAAAGTAAAATGAGCATTTATGATTTTTTTTTTTAAAAAAGCATAGATCTCCATCCTACTTAAATTTAAACAAGATTTTGGGAAAGTAGTTTTAAACTGTGTTATTTTTCAAAATAATCTTTAAAATAATACTTGACATATTCCTGCACAGCACATATTTGGCTTTTTTTTTATCATTTGTTATTGTGTTTTAACTGAGTCTAGTATTTCTGTTTCGAAACTTCCCATGGTTAAAATTGGCATTTGGGATTTTTTTTTTTATTTTTGTTTTTATTATTTGTTTGTGCTTACTTGCCTTTCTGGGGTATTTATATGGAGCAGTGACTTTCTTGACATGCTCTTGCAATTCACAGGCCAGTTTGTTTGGATCCTGTGACTTAAAAGAAGGAGACAAGACCACGAAAGCTTTTACCACCTACAAAAGGAAAATAAATTAAAAATACAGCATTAATTTAACTAGAGCAACCTAAGAAATGAAGCAATTCATTGAGAATTAGGGGCCCCCCTTTGAATAGACGAGTGAGCACTAATTACCTCCCCTCTGATGGGATCTGGGCTGCTTACAACAGCTGCCTCAGCCACAGCTGGGTGCTCTGTCAGGGCACTCTCCACTTCAAATGGCCCGATACGATACCTGGGGGAGACACAGTAGATGTTTAATACATGACAAGGTATAGGGTTATTCCCAGACGCTTCTTGGCATTTTAACTGAAATCTACAAACCCAGAGGAGATGATGACATCATCAGATCTACCCATAAACCATATGTATCCATCCTCATCCATGCTCCCTCTGTCTCCAGTGACATAGAAGTTCCCACGGATTGTGGAAGCTGTTTTCACTGGATCGCCCTGTTGAACAAGCAACAATAACATGTTCTAAATATTGAGAAACCTTAAGCTTAGAGATGAGTTTTGCCTTTTTGGACACTACTTATAGTGTCTTTCACTGCTTGTTTTCTCTCTCAAGAATGTAAGAGCTTGTGCTTCCTTCTTTCAGAGGGGAAAGCTTATCACAAGGGCAGAGAGAGATCACACAGAAGGTCTGCAAAGAATGGGGGAGAGAATGGAAGTTTCATAAGAACTTTGTCAAGTCAAGAAGAGCAACAGCTCTTTGGTGTTGCAGCTGCTCCTGTTGGTGTAAGTACCTACCACGCTGCAGACCTAAGGGGGCTTCTGAAAATTTGCTTTTGACTTACCACATATCGAGTGAAAAAAGTAAATGGCCGCTTCGCATCCACTTTGATAGCAATGTCTCCTTCTTCCCCAGGAGGCAGAACACTGCCATTCCCATCTATAATCTGCAATAGTAAAGGCAAATGGGTGATTAGAACTTCCCATTTTGAGAGAGCCATGTTCTAAAACTTACCAGCAACCAAAAACTCAACCAAAAAAAGTCAGCCTGCCCTGAATTACCACTGTATGGTACGGAAACTTGGGCAGCAAGTTGCACTCTTGTGTTTTACTTCTGTGAAATCAACAACAAACAGAAAAGGGAACCCATACCTGAACATTGTAGGGGGGAGCTGCCTTCCCCAAGGAACCTGGCTTAATTTTCATTCCTTTCATATTTACACATATGACTCCCTGTTGGAAAAGACAAACAACCAGCCCAGGTAATTCACTGTCATCCCTGAGCAGTCACATCCCTGTTCCTATTCATGTGCTACTGTTGAGTGAGCACAAGATCTAAATCTTCCATCTGTGCAAGCCGGAACATTTGTGCACTTCACCAAGAGTCTTGGACAGATAGCTCAAGATATTTTACAGCGTACATAGCCTTTAGAAGCAGTATCGTGACCAAGCCGTTATTCCAAGCAAAACAATAAACCTTGTAGCAATGCCACAGATTTTAAGTCTTTTAGTCAAATATATGTATGGCCAAGTTCCCTATTTACCAAGAGGAATGAGATGTCAAAGTCCCCTGAGTGATAGCCAAGTTGTAACCCTTTACAAAACATCTGAACATACAATTTCGGTTTGGCCATAGCCTTCATAGATCGTCAGTCCTGTTTGGCGTTTCCACTGTGCCATCACTTCTGGGTTCAGTGGTTCCCCTCCAGTCAGACAGTGCCTCAGCGTCTTGAATGCATACCTTCACAGACAGAGGACATTGCTGAGAAGCAGAGGACAGAAAGGGACAAATTCTGCTCTCTCTGACATCTGTATGGCCAACCCCATGACTTCTGGACACACCAAACTCTCATTTTAAGAGGTGAGGTTAGGGTTGAGAGAAAGCCTAGAGTGCCTGTTGGAGTGGGCCTGGAAGGGGGCTGCCAGAGGTGAGCTGCAAAGATGCACAGGACTGATGGCAGTGCAGCCACACATGTACTTGCAAGGGCTGACTTCTGTATTTGCTGTCGGTAACACCTCGGGGCAGTTGGAAGTGCCCGAGGGGTGGATTTCCTCACTTCTCTCTGCTGTGCTAAGGCAAAGACTCTGCCTTCTCACAGCCCCTGCCTATAACACAGAATCTTCACCACTCTGAGAGTTTAAGTGGCTATGAGGGCCATCAAAATCAACTGTTCAAGAGCCAGGCAAAAGTTTGAACAGACACGTGGTACCTGCTGAGGTCGTGCTGTACCAGCATGCGGTAGACAGTTGGGGCACTGCACAGAGTGGTCACTGGGTATCTGCACAAGGTCTGCCAAATTAAAGAAAAAAGGAACAGAGAGTTAAACAATATTGTTTAGGGGGAAAAACTAGCTGCTAGCTATTCTACTCTGTACTAGGGCACAAATTGTAAGACATGATTAAAATCTCACTTACATGAAAAGCAAAATAATTGCTGTCACTGTCAGTGTTGAGGAAGGATGTTACAGTGCCCAAACACCAGCTGAAGAGGTGATACACTGGCTGTGGAATCACTGGTGTACCTAATTTGTCCTAATGCTGACTTGAAGCACGAGCACTATCCCTTGGTGTGAAACCTTGGCCCTGAAGGTGTACTCTTACCCTTGTGCTAGATTAAAACTCAGATTGGCTTGAGAAGCTTGAAAATAATTTCCTTTAAGAACAAGCCATTCTCACAGCTTCGGCGTTTTCCAGTACTGACTTGTCCTTCTTCAGGGTCACAGCTGTGTAATTAAAATATTAATTTACATGTAATTCAGCTCATTTATCATTTCAGTAGTGAAATACAGTAGGGTAGAGGTCTAGGTAACACCAATAACTCCTACTGATTGGAAGCTGCTGATAATATCCTGTGCCCAAAAGAATCATGCTGCAAAAATCCTTCCTGTATTATATTCCTATTCAAAGAACAATCACCCCGTGGTTATGCCATCTTAAAACAGCTAATCCCATAAACCTAAGAGGCTTAGTTTTGTGGCCTGCCTGGAAAACAACATGAAATATGAGTAACTGTTCATTGTGAGCATGGTGTTCTTACATTGAAGATTCCTCTTGGATCAAACTGTGGCATGGCATGTACAAAAACACACGTGCCCTGGGACCATGGACCAAAAATGCTTCCGGCAGCTCCCTTTACCCAAGCAGGGTCTGATATGTTCCACATGATGTCTGAGGGAGTCAGATCCATCCAGTACCTGTTGAAGACAAAGGTGGCCAATATAAGGAAGTCCACAAGTGGAAATTAAAAATGTGAGGGCTTGTTGTTGTTTGGTGGTTTTATTTTTTCTTTAGAAAGGCATGGTAAATTTGATCTGAAACTCAGGAGCTCAAATAAATGCCTTTTGCCTAACCTTTATATTGATGGCAAAGATAAAGAAAATCAAATGGTATCCCAACTCATTATTTAATCTGGATAAACAGGCAAGTAGTTTCTAAAACGGAGCCATATACTGTATTGAACGAGATCCTTGTCTTATGCATACAATTCAGCTGAGGAGACCAAAAGAAATGGCACATACAAGATTGTGGGAGCCTCATAATCTATCATAATTTTACCACATACAAAAGTTCTTCTGTTTGCTTCACATTTCAGTGTTGTAAAGGCATAATTAGATTAATACTTTACCTTCCACAGAGGAAAAAACCCAGACCAAAGCTTCCATAGGAATGTTCAACCATTTTGGGAGAGCCTGTGGTGCCACTGGTAAAATAAATTACCATTGGATCCTGACTTTTAGTCTTCACGCAGTTATGGACAGCAGGGGCAGCCCTTAAATAAAAAAAGAAAGGTTATGTGAAACAGTGGATGGTGTTATTCAGCATCCTTAGCTTGGACCCCTTGTGCCCAATATATGCAGGACTGTATAGTGAGCTATAAGGTATAAGAAATTAGATCCCCTTGCTCTTGCACTGCTAGTTCTGTATTAAAGGGCTGCTGATTTTGCTCCCTAACCATATTCCATGTCCACCTTGTCCTGAGTAAAAATGCCAACTGACTCTCTTCTATTTGGCTTCCTTAACAACGACCAAAATGCCCAGTGTCTTGTGTTTGACTCAAGTCCCCCCAGTAAAGCATATCTCCAGTCTTAATGGGTTTAGCTGAGGGAGGACCCACCATTTACGTTGGTAGGTGGACCCAGTAGTTAATTATCTTTACCATGTTTGAGAAGTGTGGGGAAGCTCAAACTCTTGGTTGTCTGGCACGTGACAGGGATATATTGCTCATCTCTTACTAGGATGAGAAAGCAAAACTCTTTTGTTTTCTCTGCCAGACTGATATTTGAAAAGGTTTTGCTTGACATGCAAACGTTGCCCATTCCTGCAAGGTTATGTGTGGGAAGTCTGCCTCCCCAGGCCAGCTGTGTCCTGGTGCTGGCTGGCAGGCAGAGATGCTGCCCAGGAGCTCCCACTCCAGAGCTCCACAGCCTCTGGCCAGCTCAGCAGTCAGCAAAGGCACCTGAGGACATGGGGAGCTGGAAGTCAGGGCAATCAGCCAGGCAGACAGACTGACAGCGGTCTGTGGAGACCACGAGCCAGGCAGGATGGCAGGACAGAACTCTGGGAAGACTGGGAGCCTGACAGCTGAGCAGCCCTGGAGCCAGCCAGCACTTTGAAGGCAGCCTGTGGGGAACCCTGCCAGCCCACCTGCCTGACCGCCAGCGACAGCCTCTGCAGGACTGACACAGCTCCAGACCAGACGGAGGTTTTATCAAATCCGCTTTACCCTCTGCCATGGAGCTGAGCCATGCAATATTAGCCCAGCATGAAAGAAGATTCATCAAACTGACAATGTTTTGGTAGCTCTGGGAGGTTTGAGAATGCAGTGTTACTGCTTCCTCTGCCTTCCACTTTGGTGACACTGAAGTAGGCAATTGACTGAAGGAGCAGGTGGAAATACAGTGGGATTGTACAGTGGTCTGCACGGATGATGCTTATTCAGACACCTGTGGTTGTGAGAACATGTGGTACATCTTATAAAGCTCTTAAAGAGACTGGAGAGCTTGGATCCTACCTTGAAAGAACAGTTTTAGCTATATAGGTGCTTTAACAAAGTATCAGCTGGTAAAATCACACTGAGGGGCCTCGAGGAGATTGCAGCAGGGTGTTTGCTTCCCTGCCTCACTCTGCCCCTCCACCCCTTTCACAATCCCTCACACTGCAGTGAAGAGCTGCCTGTTGGGTGCCATTTCAGTAGGTGCTTTTCAGCAGCTGCAGAATCACAGAATATTCTGAGTTGGAAGGAACTCACAGGGATCACTGAATCCAACTGCTAAGCAGTGAAGCAGGTGGATTCCTAACAGACATTAGGTTCATTTTACAGTGCCCTTTTTAGCCGTTCATAGTGAAAAGCTATTCACATTAGCCTCATTATCATCAAGTTTTAGGAATATGTATGGGAATACTTTGTATAGAGTATTTCTCATTGTCTTTTAGATGGTAAATATGCCACAGCTATCGATAAAAGAGGCATTCCTGTCCACTTTTCTGTATTGTTTCATAGTCTTATGTAACAAACTTAGACATCATAAGACTACTTATTTTTTTAATTAGAAGTTTGGCTACTCTCAAATATTCCTTTTCTACATAGAAAAGAGACTAAATTGCCTTCTTTTCTACCTCCTCAAAGCTTTTTAGTTCATTAATAAGATACAAGTGCACAGGAGTGTTTAAACGACATGAAAAATTTTGCAGTAGAGGTAACTGTAACAGAGTTAAGGTAGAAGGCACTTACTTGAGCAAATCACTAAAGTTCAGCCACTCAGCCCTGCTGCTTTCAGATACAATTAGCTTTGTTTTCAGAAATTGGCACTTAGATGCAACTGAGTCCACTGCAGGAGCAAGAGCATCAGTTGTAATAATGCACTTGGCCTTCGAAGCCAGCAGTCGATAGCAAATGTCTTGTGCTGTCAGTTGTGTTGTCCCTGGGATGATGATAACACCTGAAAGTGCAACGAAATTGGAAATTCACTAAGTATTTTCCCCTTTTAGTCCTTGTCACTTTACAGCTTCTCCTGATTTGTTGAATACCAGCACTATTCAATCCAGAAATGAGAAAGTGTTAAAACAGGTTCCACACACCTGAACTTGAATACAGATATGAGTACAAAATAGCTTCTGTTTCTATGAGGTCCTTTACTACAGGCATAATGAAAGTAGAAAGTATTAACTTGGGGCAATAAACACTATCAGCTTTAACTGAAGCCTGTTGAAGCTAAACTGATTTAACACAACCAAATTGACTTAACAACTGCTGCGGAAAGTGAAAGAAAAATGATGAAGGTAATTCCATCAGTCACAAAAGACTTCCTCAGTCACCCCTTTGATTGTCAAATGTACAAGCGAGGAAGTCAAATAAGGAATCCAATTATTAAATGAGTTGTTAATCAACTTTTGACACAGAAGGTAACAATCAATCTACAGGCCATTAGGAATGATACAATTCACCTGTTCGCATACAAGCCACGTTCAGCAGCCACCACTCTGGGATTCGGGGTAGAATCACTAAAACCCGGTCTCCCCTTTGCAGACTGCAGGGTCCAGAGAGCACATTGGCCACTTTTTGGGACAGGAAGCCCAGCTCTCCAAAGCTCCATTTAATTTCATCTCCTTTTCCATTTATCCACCACAGAGCTGGGTTTGATGGTCCCTTTCGTTCCTACACACAATAGGGGCAAATAACATTCTGGTTACTTCTGAGTCTCCTGTAGTTCCTTACAGAAGTTTTGGGATGCTCCAATCAGTGGAATCTGATAGTACTATGTATTCTAGGGCAGGGATATTAAGCACATTTTGGTTAAAAGAGCCCTTTTCCAAGGTGTGTATATCTACTTGATTTGCAATTCTCATAAATTACTTAGAGGCTTTCACGAACCCCACACTGCTGAATTAGAGTCACAGAGACAAACCACCAGGTCCCCTCTGATGCAAAAGCAAATTGCCTCTCCTTTCTCTGCAATGTAAGATCATGTTAGAACAGAAATCAAGGAGGAAATTCTGGTCCCACTGAAGCCACTGATGGTTTTAGACTTGGCTTTGGGGACTGAAGCACAGTTTCACTAAAGATACTGAATCTACAGGGTCAGAAGTGCTACCTTTTCTATTTGAGACCACTTGTCCAGCACATCACTTGCAAAATTGAAGTACTCAGGTACTTGCTTTTCACAGCGACCGATAGCTTCATAATCTGAGAAATTCAAAGGTGCAAAAGTCTTGTGATACTGGTGGAATAACCTCCGAAGTGTCTGGATGCTCCGTGGGGACCGCAACGCTTGAAATTCAAGTAAAGTCTTCATGGCACAAAAGCAGGTATACAGGGGTTTTGAAGAAACCCCTTTCTTTGCAGAAAGAAGCTACTTCAGTGTTCTTGATAAAAACCAGCAAAGTATAATTGCTCTCTGGTACTTCACCCTTCTTCATAAAAGCGAGAATCTTGTGAAGAAAAAGGAATAAAACACAGCATTATAGTTTGGTTGGTTGTTGGTTTTTTTTACATTAGCAGGTGGTGTCTTCAATTTTTCAGAAGACTAGGTATTTTAACAACTATTAAGTAAAAACTTATTTATCAGTGTGTTTAAATAAGTTGTGCTTACCTGGAGAGGTTATTTGTGATCAGATGTGACTTCGTACAACTCCTCCTCATGTACCTTGCCTGGTACTTAATTGGCAAGTATTCCCTCCTCCTGGCTCCCTCCAGTTCTGTGAGCAATTGTAGCTCCTCATTAGTATCACACATCACGTTCCATAGTGGGCATTACTTCCCCCAAGAGCACAGATTTCATTTCTGCAGTTAGCTTCCAAAAGAAAGGCACAATTGCTGAGAAAGTTTAGAGCAGATGGAAAGAGCACTGAGTATGAGTGACTGCATTTCTGGTTCACTGCCTTTGGAGAATGGATAATCCACCATAAATTAATATATAACTCTATTCTGTGGCATCAGTGACTTTGGAAATGGTAACACTGGGATTTTATTCAGATTCCAGACTTAAACATAGTATGAGAATTGGTATGATATGAAGATTTGAAGATTTTCATAAGCCTGGTGCCAATAAATATCACCTATAATGTCTGATGGACACTTCTATGGAGCAAGTATGTGCACTTCAGACGTGGGCCATCAGCTCTGTGGAGGACAATAAGAACTCAAACTACAAAGTCATCGCTATGAAACTGGGTGACAAAGGGATGAGACACAAAATCCATGCTCTGGAATCCATGGTTTAGTGGTGGATTTGGCAGTGTTAGGATTATAGCTGGATTTTGTGACTTGAAAGGTTTTTTCCAACCAAAATGATTCTGTGATTCTATACAGAGGCAATAAAGGGTATAATTAAGGATCAGAGTTAGGAAACAGTCAGAGATGCTGCTAGAAACAGCAAACACAGATAGCAGTGGTGGAAGTAATGGACGATGGAGAGGCAGAACCAGGCTGTTAGAACCCATGTGTGGAATCTCTGCAGGCATCAATGCATGGCCAGTGTTTCAGGAAAGCTGCTGAATTACAGTGTGTTAGTATCTGAAAGTTTTCAAATCACTTTTGCAAATGGAATGTAAGCTCTGAAATTACTCAGAACTAAGCTGTCCAACCTGGCATCTGTTGTGCAACCTCTCTTTCCCTGTCTTCTGTGTCTCTCTGGCATGTCACCTTCTTTCAGGCAGCTTCAAATTTTACAATTCCCTTGAAAAAATGTAATACTTTCAGCATGCAAATACCCCCTACAGTGGGGTTTATTTTTTGTTCGAGGTCTAATTCTGCTCCTAAAGAAATAAATTCTCAACTATTCTCTGGTTTCAGTAGTGCAAGCTTAGACACATTTAGATTAATGTAATCTACACAGACACAGCATTTTGTGCGTTTGTTTTCTCTCTGTTTTTGACCTCAGACAATAACGTGCTTTGTAGCTGGAAAGCAAAGCAATATCCATTTCAGAGCTTAAGGGGGTGAAAGAGGCGAGATCCACCTGCAGAACCCTCCTGGCACAGCCTCTCCTGGGACTTGTGTTTGTTAGCCAGTTAATTGTTGTCCTGAAAGGTCATCAACAGCTTTACCACAGAGCACATTTGCTGTTTTCCCAGGCTCTGGTACAACAGCAGGTGTGTTTATGGGTAGTACACAGCAGAACCAGGAAAACTGAAGATAAATGACCCTGTGCTCTTTTTTTGGTTCACTGGTGTTTTTGTGCTCCTAGTAAACACAGCCTTGGTCAGAGAGTTCAACTACTACTTATATCTTCTGAATCAAGTGCTGTAGCAGCACTGTGTGAAGTGCAAGTGCTACAGAGAGGTAACAAGAAATGTGAGATGTGCCCTAACAGGGATGATCTAAACCTCTGCTGCAGCCATACCCACGTTATGGAAATATCTCACAGTCTGAACTGACTACTCAGTCCAGGAAATCCTTGATTATATTTAATCCTGAAACTACACAACACAGAGATAGAAGTCTGATCATCAACAACAGTTAAAAAACATTCTCACAAAATAATACTAGTCACATACTCAAATTTTATAATTTCCTTTAAAAAAAATGTAACACTCTCAACATGCAAGTACTCCCAAGAGTGGGGTTTATTTTTCATTTGAGGTTTAATTCTGCTCCTAAAGAAATAAATTCTCAACTATTCCCTGGTTTCAGTAGTGCAAGCTTAGACACATTTAGATTAATGTAATCTACACAGACACAGCATTTTGTGCGTTTGTTTTCTCTCTGTTTTTGACCTCAGACAATAATGTGCTTTGTAGCTGGAAAGCAAAGGAATATCCATTTCAGAGTTTAAGGGTGGCTTTGAGTAATGGCACTGCAGTTACAAAAATAAAGGCCAGTCTGATTTTCCCTCTTCTATCATTATTTTCAAAACCCTCCCATGTACATTTAAAATTATAGAGAATATATTGCTTTAGAAATATCCCAAAGCATCAGAACAAAAATTGTTATTTTCTACCCTTACTCAGAAGGTTGTCCAGCACCTCTTAAGACTGACAGGGAACAGGATGCAAGAAGACACAGAAGTCCAGGATGAGCATGTTCTGGTCAGGAGCTCAGCAGCAAAGCTAAGCTCTTCCCCACTCTGTGTTTCTTAGTTTCTTCCTTTGAATGTTCCCAGAGATCCTCTTTGGTAGTTGTTGAACAAGCCCCAACTCATCTGTGAAGAGAAATAACAATACTTAGCAGTTTGACACAGTTTCATTCCAAGCTATGTTTCTGTGGCAAGCCTGCAAATATAAAAGCTACGGGCTCTTGTGAGGATTAAGCGGGCAGGCAGCACATCAGTCCCAGTGCCCAGCACAAAGAATGAGTTATGTTTTAAAGAAACAGAGAATATCAGTTGGTTGACTCAGTAATTCCTGAAATCAGTAGTGCAGGACAAGCACACACCACTGAATTTGAGCCCAACCTGGACTTCAAAGGGACCAACTGAGAGGCTTTATTTGGTTGCTGAAACCCTGGGCAGTGAGGCAGAGACGGGACTCCTGCACACATAGCAAACACAGATGTTTTGATTCATCTGTTTCTTCCTTTTCTTCCTGGTCAGGTTCAGGTTTTGCGTCATTACAAAACTGCAGTAACATGTTGGCAAGACTGACGGACCAACATGCAGCCTGAGCAGTCTGTGACTGCAGCAGAGAGGAAACCCCTGCTGAAACGAGCCATTTGCACCACGAGACCAGGGGACAATCTAGCCAGATCTGTTTAAAGCCCAACACAAACCAAAACCAAACCCCAAGAATCTGTCCCAGGATTATATTTTTAAAATTGCTTTAAAATCAATTATTTCCCAGGGTCATAATTAGATTATGTTTAAAATGTATTACTTACAAAGAATAAATGGATTACATGAAAAATCTGATTACTTCACTTCAAAGTGGATTACTTTTCCAAAAACTACTCACATTTGAAATCTGAATGCGCTTAAAAAGAAACAGATTCTGATATTGTGAACAGGTTTCATTTTTCAACATGTTTTTATAATTGCTCTTAAAAATCTAATCCTATTTCTTTTTATTTTGCTCCAAAAATGGGATTACATTTAAAATATCCAACATGTTTTTCCTCTGTCCTGATTGAATCAAGGAGGAAAAAATTTAATCCCTCAGAACAAACATGTAATACAGGAAAAGGGAAGGGAAATTTAAAACCGTACCTCACGGTTATTGGAACCCTGTGCAGGAAGTGAGGGAAGCTAAAGACAGTGAAGTGTTTTCTGAAGACTTTTGGTGGGAGCTGGTGCATCATTGCTTAGCCAAGGGGAGCTTATTGTGCTATTCCCGATGAACTATTCATGTTTATCTCCGAATGTGAATGCCCTGGGGTTCTTTTCAACCACTCTAGATACTCCTCAAGTGGTGTCTGATTCCTGCTTCACTTGGAAAAGCTGTAGTACTGTTTCACCTCTGCAGAGCCCACTGCCAGCAGCAATAAGATGTGAAACTCATGCTGAAATTCCCCCAAACCTGCTGTACCCTTTCAGCCTGGTAATCTGTGCCCAGTGCACACTGTGACAACTCTGCTGAGGAACCCGACAGAATACTGATCGTTGCCAGCTGAGGCTTTCAAACGTGCTGTTGTATTCAAACCCTCTCTTACTGTAACATCCAAGCATTATCTTTCTCTGTTCAACTAATTGTTCAGAATGTCACTCAAAATTCAGTATTTTATAACTGTATTGAATTGGTAAAATCTGATTCTTTTGATTAAAATAATTAGGATAAATTTATGTTCAGAGACACAACTTGATTAGGTGAAGGAACATTTCATTTCCCTGTACATAATTCCAGTGGTATCTAATACAGGTTCATCTGTAGTTTCAATGGAAGAAGACAACATCAGATCCTACCAGGATAGGCCTATGACATTCAGCTGTGTTTACTTATGGAGTCAGCATGAGGTCAGATTGTCAGTGTTACATTTCTTGCACACTCTGATGGTGCTCAACAGTCCAGTAAAAATATCAGGATGCAGATTTTTCCCCCAAAAGAGCAAATACTTTGTCAAAACCATCCACGGTACAAAATGGATTGGTCTAAGGAGAAGTCGCATCTCTTGGTAATACAGATTCTTTCTTAGTAAAAATGAGTAATGACATCTCCCTCTCCAGCCTGAGGCACACTCTGACAAGAAGTTTCAGCAGCAGAAGTTGCAGCAAATGGAACTCCTCTTTTTTTTAAAATGCCCAGAGTCTGTCAACATTTCCTATCTCATGAGGTTGCAACATGATCTTACCAGGTATCCCTTCCACTAGAGCCACTTTGCAGGCTGAAGCTTTCCACCTCAGTCCCTTCCCACGTGGTGACTAAACTCTTAGGAAATAATGCATCAAAATATATTTGATACAGAATACCTTTTCTGATGCAGGTATCACCCTTTCTATTGTCTCTTGAGAATAACATCAAATAGAAGCTGGGCTGTAAGAGGGATGGAGAGAAGGTCTCAAAGGGAAAGGCTATTGAAATAGTCTATTGAAAAATTTATTTTTCAGCCAGAATAACACAATCCACTCAAGTACTGACATTAGAAACTTTGCAAGCAAGCATAAATATCACATCTTGGAGTTATCTGTAGTTTTTGGTGCTCAGGTATTTAAAAAAAAGCGAGTAGAATGAGGGAGTTATATTAGTGAAATTTATATAGTGCTAATGGAATGAAAGAAGTTTTGTTAAATTCCTAGCAATGCTACATCCGTCCCCACTCTTTGTCTCTTAATTCATTCCTCTTGATCTTCCCAGTGATTGTCTTTGGCAGCTCTTGGACAAATTCCACCTAAATAAAATAAAGAGAGAAAACAATGTAGCATGTTCTACCGTGTTGGTTTTCCAAGACCAGCTCTCAGCATAAGTGGAAAACTGAGAGGGCTCCTGTCAGTAAGAACTGCCTGCCTAAAGGATCATGTCCAAGCCAAATCAAGGCAGCACATTGTGCCACCTGTGAAACCACTCCTTTGCCTCTTATTTATTAACTGTGAGGAGCAGTAGATAAAAGTTTATTCAGATTCAGTCACGTGCTCCCCTAAAGGCACCAGTGAGTGCTTGGTTGAAGGTTAAATACAAAATGGAGAATTATGATTGTGGGTCTGACCTAGAACATGCAGCTCTAACTAAGGATGTACGAAGCCTAGAAATTTTTGAGATATTTAAACAAACACTTTACTCAAATGCATGAAAATCAATGTGAACTAGTATTATTTAGGAAAGATCTTCTGCAGCCAGTGGTCTAGAAGAATCTTTACTGCTGTCTCTTTCAGTTGAATCATGAAACTGTAAATAGTAATTCTCCAGAGACTTATGGAAGGGTGTCCTGGTTTAAAGTTTCTCCTCAGAAGCATTTACCTTTCGAGGGTATTTATATGGAGCAGTGGTTTTCTTCACATGGTCCTGCAAGTCCTGGGCTAAGCTCTTCAGGTCACTGGATGAAAAGGCTGGTGACAGAATCACAAATGCTTTCACAACCTGTAAGATAAGATTAACGAAAGTGGTCTGATGTGGTCCATTTTTAAGAGCTGATATACAGGTTACCAGGGAGCAGTGCTGCTCCGAGTCATGACATTCAAAAGGGAGGAACAGAGAAACCAGCACACTGTAAGAAATGATTGTGCCCAGCTTCTGCACATGCATGTGCAGAAGGGAAAGTTGAAAGCACAGCTTTCCTGCCCTCCTTACAAAGCAAAAGCCTTTGCCGTTTCCTCTCAGCATCAAGAGGAAGGGGCAACAAAAGGTGTCTCTGTAGAATTCTCCCCAAGGCTAAGGGACAATTTGTTTCTTTCTGAAGTTCACACTGAGGACGGTAAGCCCTATTATCCCAGCACAGGACTGTGCTTTCACTACCCCTGCAGCCCAAATTTAATGCCAGGGCAGTTCAGAATAACTTTGGCTACACCAAGACAGTCATAAATGACAATTTCAGCGTACAGAAAAATGCTTAGGAACAAGGAGAAAGTAAACATCACTGTAAATATTCTCCACAAAGGAGACCTTCTTGGGATCAAAAGAAACTCAGAAGAGCAAAGGCATGTAAATGGGAAGGGATTTTGCTTGTCACCCCAAGTAGGATTATGCATGATACAAGTAGACGAGGTGCTTAAGGTCATGGTTTAGTGGTGTATATGGCAGTGCTGGGTTGGACTCCATGATCTTAGAGGTCTTTTCCAACCTAAAGGATTCCTTGATTCTAAGATGACATGACTGCCTTAGAGCTGTACATTATTCAGTAGAAATTTCTTTATACCATCATATGTTTAGGCAAACACGTTGCTTTCCTCCTCCACCACTCAGCGTCATTACCTCTCCTCTGAGGGGATCTGGGCTGCTGACAACAGCTGCTTCTACCACAGCTGGGTGCTCTATCAGGGCACTCTCTACTTCAAACGGCCCAATGCGATACCTAGTAAGGAAAAATAAAATGGGATTTGGCTTTTTTTAAGTGGAAAACAAGTACCAAATGTTTTTTTTAATTGTACTATTGAAGAAAAAAACCCTCCAAACCAGAACAAATTAACAACCAACTGTAGAAACTTCAGCCAAAATGGGAAAGCTGGTTGTGTTAGAAAGTAGGAGCATTTCAGAGTGGTCATGTTGTAGAGGACTGCTGGGGCTGTGGATTCCTCTCCATCTCTCCCCTTTCTTCAGGGCTCCTAATCTGGAGCTCCATCCCACTGATAGCCGGGATCTGCAGTAGCAGCTGGTGCCACATTATGGTATCCCATCATATAATACCAAATTTTATCATTTTATTATGTTAAAGTGCTTCAAATGCTCTTTCAATCCAATAGAGATGCCCTTCAATTTTAGTCAAAAATGAACTAGATAAAAATCCCTCCTCAGCCAGTTGAAGTCTTCATTCTTTGTTGAAACAGATGAGATGTTGCAGGGGAAAAGGATACAGAGATGCCACTGATATCACCAAGATGATACTGCAAGTCTATGAAAAGCTAATAATAAAAGCAAGTATTCCTAAATCAAGAGGTCAATACATTAATCACAGGATTATTATGTCAAAAGCTCACTAGGAACACGACATGTAAGACGATACAATGGCAGATTTAGAGAGAAGTGTGCAGACTGACCCTGAAGAAATGATGATGTCATCATATCTTCCAATAAACTGAAAATACCCATCTTCAT